AGACAGAGAATTTTTTTTAATATTTATTTTTTAGTTCCCGGCGGACACAACATCTTTGTTGGTATGTGGTGCTGAGGATCGAACCCGGGCCGCACGCTTGCCAGACGAGCGCGCTACCGCCTGAGCCACATTCCCAGCCCGATCTTCACCCATTTAACATTAGTACAATGGCAGACTTGAAGATTAATCACCTGCCTTCTGGAAGATCATGATTCCAAGCTACCAAGGAAGGACTGTTTCTCCAATGTGTCAATTACACAAAGATATAATTTATCCAAATGTGTTAAATTTTATATACTACTCAAGATAATACAGATAGTCATATATAAGTTGAACTTGAGAACCAGTCTTCTCAATATCTCTTACTTTTATTTACCCCCAACAAAATACCCTCTTCGATTCTTTGCTTTGAAACTTCAGTGCCAGCTAGTGTTTGTCCCTCACGATCTCTATATCCTTCTAAGGTCTTTTCAGTTTCTTTATACCTGTAGTTAACACTTATTCCTCGTTACTCAGCCTTTCCAGAGCTTTATATTCTGGCTTCCCCTTCTCTATGCCCCCTAAAGTCTCAAAGACCACAATCCCATAGAATAGGGCCCCATTCAGGTGCTTACCTGCTTATGTCTGCCTGCTGTGAATCCCTGCTTTCCTGCTTTCACTATTGGCTGCCTTTTGCTCTTTGCTCCTATTTGAGATCTTCTGAATCAAGAAAGCTTCACAAAGCACAGGCACCTTTGTACTAGTTTACAACTAACTGTGTGGAATTTTGCTAACTCACTCCCATCTTTATTCTTCACTTCTCCCTGCTCCACCTTTTCTCTGGGTACATGATTGTCAAGTTCATCTACTTTTATGACAGTTGAGTACCAATTAATAGAAATATTGTTTCCAGGGCATAAGTTGCTCAAGAACTGAATTTTGTGTTGTTTTCATGTTAGCTGAACAGTAGAAAGCTAAGAGCATTTTTAGCCAGTTTCCACCCATGACTGAACTTAGAAAGCTGCTAACAAATATGCATCTAATTATATAACAGAAATTGCACTAGGTCTAGATATGCAAAAGGGAGTCAAGATAGGCTCTTGGGGAGACTTCAGCTTACCAAAAAAAGTAGACAAATAAACCAATAGTTACAATGTACTTGGATAAGTTCTCTGACAAAAAAGAGCACAGTGCTCAGGAATAGATATAACAGACAAGTAACTTGGCTTAGAAGGGGAAGGATGGGGGTTGGAAAGGAATGGGAGGCTTTTTGAGGTATGCGAGGCCTAAAGAGAATCCTGAATTAGAAGTAGAAACTACCAGTGGGGAAATTCTACAGGGAGAATTCTGAGCTTCAAATGTAACTGGAAAATAGAGAATAAAGAAGGCAATGTGAGGAAGGCTGGCTCTAGAGGCACTGAGATTTCTAAACAAGTGGACTGGTTTTCCTTGTACAGTTCCATAGTGACATGTGATTGCTAATTATATATCTTTCTATTTCCTCGCTAAGCAAATATCAATGTTGACTGACTTGAATAAAATGACACAGTATTTTATAACAGTGAAAAATAATAGAATGGAATAAATGACCAGTAAAGTCCATCAAAGGTTGGCAAACAGTCAAATATAAAAGCTTCCATTGCCAATTCTTCTGAACTCCACAGCAGAGCTGGCTTAAACAAAGTTAAAAAGTAAACATAGGTAAGTTTAAAATGTAACTAGAATGAAAATTTTAAACAGAAGTTGAACTATGGGAATGGATACAGCCAAACTACCCTGTACAAAAAGGCTTGCCAAGCAAAACTGCTGTGGGTCTAATGTGGTAACTATCTTTTAAGAGACTATAGTAAATAGGAAAAAATACATGTCCATAAATGTCCTCCATAAAATGCAAATGAGAAGCACCATGCTCTGAGACCTCAAAGATGGGAGTGGGCATGGTAATCACAGCAGCTTGGGAGGCTGAGACAGGAGGATCATAAGTTCAAAGTCAGCCTCAGCAACAGCAAGGTGCTAAGCAACTCAGTGAGACCCTGTCTCCAAATGAAATACAATAGGGCTAGGGATGTGGCTCAGTAGCCAAGTGCTCCTGAGTTCAATCCCCTGTACCAAAAAAAAAAAGGGAGGTGGCATTTGAGGAGGGTGCTAGGGAGGGAAATGAATTAAGACAGGAGAGGAGTCAGGAATAAGGAATAATATAAATCAAGATATAAATGTAGAAAAGGGAATAGGGCACTCTGGCAAGTCCAGTTCAGTTTGACTAACTATAGTAGGAAATAAAGTTGAAACTGAAGTCAGATAGTTGATAGTTACCAAACTAAGGAGTCTAGACTATTCTGCGGGTAATAGGAATCACAGAAGACTTTCAGCAAGAGAGTCTCAAATATCAATCTAGCAATTACATGTAAGAAAGAGTGAAGTGGTGAGCCTTGTTAGATCACTCAGTTGTCTGATTTTATAAATATTTGCTGATGCTCACCAAATGCTAAGTGTCAAGAGAATGGAAGGTAAATAAAACAGAACTTTTTATTTAAGATGCTCTGAGTTTGACAAGGTGACAAACATATATACAAATAACAGTGTCTTTGTTTAAAAACAGTAAAGGAGTCCAAAGCATAGAAGGGCTAACTACCGAGAGGATTTGGAAAGGCATCATGAGATGACACTTGAATTGATCATGAAAAATGAGTAAAAGTAACTACATAAATACATGTGGACAAAGACCAGAGGGATTATAAAAGATGAAAGCATATAGTAGGGAAATTATGGAGAGTTTGGTTTTAAAACTTCATTTTAAGAATTGTTATTGTGGACTGGGGATGTGGCTCAAGTGGTAGCGCACTTGCCTGGCATGCGTGCGGCCCAGGTTTGATCCTCAGCACCACATACCAACAAGGATGTTGTGTCTGCCGAGAACTAAAAAATAAATATTAAAAATTCTCTCTCTCTCTCTCTCTCTTTAAAAAAAAAAAAAGAATTGTTATTGTGAGCTGGGGCTACGGCTCTGTGGCAGAGCACTTGCCTAACATGTGTGAGGCACTGGGTTTACTTCTTAGCACTGCATACAAAAATAAGCAAATAAAATAAGGCATGCTGTCCATCTACAACTACAAAAAGAAATATTTAAAAAAGAATTCTTATTGTATATATTTAGGAAACAAAAAATAGAAAGTAAAAGATTATAATGGAAGACGGTATATTAAGAAAGGTTAGCATTTAATGCAGAGGAAAGATTGTGGCCACAAGAACACAATCTGAGATAATAATAGTAGCTAATATTTATGAGACCTTAATCATACATGCCATGCTTTATGTTAAGTATTTTTCATGGATTACCTAATTTAATCTCAATATCACTCTTTGAGTAGGTGATTTTATTAACATCCCAATTCTAAAATTAGAAAACTGAGGCTTAGAGAAACTAATTAACCCTTAATTAGTCCGAAGTTTTTAATTCTGCATAGGATGACAGGACATAAAGGGTTAAGACCACACAATAGTTAATGAAAAGTCAGAAATCAAACCCAGATGGCTTAATTCCAGACTCACAGTCATAATGACTACACACCCAGAAAAAACAGATACAGAAGTAGAAAGAACATAGAGAAGAAAGTTGAGATAAAAGGCAAGAACTTTAGACTTGCAGCAGGATGTGAAAGTCTTACAGTAGTATCATTTTGTTATACATAATCAAGAGCTCTTG